ATTGAACCTTATGGGGAAATTTGCTTCGGGTTGCGACCAATTCGGGGTGCGACCAGAGTTATGGAACGAATTAAATTCGTAACCCGAGGTTCCACTGTACTTTAAAAATAGTTCATCCACTCATTCACTTCATGTGAGAGTCGCTTCATGTGAGATGGGCAGCCATATAAATTTGACAAATAAATAAATAAATACATTGTGAGAAGCTGGGTCTAGCTACTTCCTCAGGAGACACAAAGCTTCTCTAACTGCTCTATATTTGCTTTCGGTACTGCACATTTCATACATAAAAATCCTCCACCTATATCCCTCACCTGTGTCTTCTTGCACGCTTGTATACTCTTTTTTTAAAAAAAGTATTATTTTTAATTAAACATTAAAAAAACATATCTCTGTATATGCTAACAGGGAAGAACAAACAGAAAACAATGTAAAAATAGAATCAGGTAAATAAGGAGTTTACAAGTATGATGAAGTTGATGGTGTTACTATATTCATAGATATTTAAAGATATCTTTAATATCTTTATATCTTTAATTTGAAAAATCACTAAACTCTATGCAGAATACAAAATAATAAAACACAAATATCAAGAATAACAAGTAATACAGTATAGATCATGCCGCAAAATTATGGAATTATAAATTGCAATGAATTCTATTTTATTACTATTACTATAAAGTTTCCTGCTACAGTATTCTAAAGGTATCATAATTGTAAATTTGTACAAACATTGACAGTTTACTACTGTGTATCATTTGTCATAAAACACGCCATCTATTTTCCATTGGATGAAGACTATTTTGTTGCAGACTTTTCAAAAGTATTAGTTTGCAACTAGCTCTGATCTGTGAGTTCTAAATCTCAGTTTTTCTCTCTAGGTGTTTGAAGCAAAAAACAAAATTTACAAGTCAGAAATCTGCCTCTGTGTGTGTGTGTGTGTGTGTGTGTGTGTTTAATATTAAATTGAGGAATGATTATATCTAGCTCTAAATGTGAGCTCACGTCGTCGTCCTCCTCCTCCTCCTCCTCCTCCTCCAGTTATCTTTTTCCTATAAACTTTATATTCTCTCTGCCACTACCACCACCACTCCAGTACCCTAAGGACATACTTTTATGAGGTGATAGCACCCAGCTAACCATATCCGGGCTTGGAAACATTCATTCATTTAGAAAAATTATATGGCTGCCCATCTAACATACAGAACTTCTGTTTGTTTGGATGGGAGACTACTAGGGAATATCAAGGCTGGGAAGTGGGAAGACATCCTGGAAAATGGCACTAGCAATCCACTTGTGTAGTGCTGCCATTACATGTTGGTGAAGTCATTAGGAGTTGACTTATTTTCTGATCAGCATCATGATACAGTTACATTCTTTTTCTTTGTATATCTGATAGTGGGCTAGAACAGTGATATCATAGGAGTGGTAGCTCCTCTATGTGTTGTTTTACTTAATGTCTTAAGGCCTTGAGTTAAGTTAAAGCATGTCTGTTTCATTATAGCCTGGAATTTTAAGGTTCACTGAGTGAATGAATATATGGAAATTTGATTGCTATCTCTGGAAACGTGGTCCTGTTATTTAATTGTATAGAAAGAGATGCTATAGAGACTTAAACATGAAAATTAAACTGCTTTTTCTCTTGCTCTTTCTTTGTTTCTGCCATTTACTCAATCTGTAGAAACTTTAGTAGTTATTCTTTACTCATTATCCTGCAGCTAAATGATGCCTGGTTTTCCAATTAGTTTAAGCTATATTTTGAGAGGCAAGTTTCATCGTTCAGCATTCACCACTAGAATAATAAATAATGTAACTTCTTGACTTTGAGCTATTACTATAGACCTATGATTTAATTATAGCTAATAAAGTCAGTTGTGAGGTTCTTTTTGAAAACACAGCCCATTTTTATTACCAGAAGGTGTTAAAGAATGTCTTAAGTCTTGATTAGATTGTATTCAATTTAAAGAATTTGAAATAACTTTTACTGTGGTTTCATTTGTTTATTTAAACAGATTTAATGCATCTAATCCTTTCAGTGAATGGAAATTAATTAGTACACAAATGTTGCATGTACATAGAAAAATGGCTTCCCTTTGCTTTTAAAAATGGCATGAAGATGCATCTCTTATATTTATCCTTTGAATGGTTTTACTAATAATTTCATTATTGTATGTGTTTTTAATAATGTTCAATTTTTTGATAAATTTTCTTTTGTATTATATTTCTGCTATGTAAGTTGCATTCCCTTTTCAAATGGAGGGCTTATCAATCCAATAAGTAAACTAGAAACCATTCTGATATAAATAGTCCTTGTTTAGTGACCACAATTGGGACTGGCAACTTGGCTGTTAAGCAAAGCAGTTGCTAAGTGAAACTGCAACTATGCTTATGATCTTACTTCAGCTTCGTTTTGCTTTACAGACCTGCAAAGTCATAAATGTGAGGATTGGTCACAAAGTTACTTTTTCATCACCATCATAATTGTAAAGAGTCACTGTCCAAAGCAGTCACTAAATGAAGACTACCTGTACCAATTTTTATTAGTTGACATCTGAGCATAAATTATTAAAACTTTTATAGATGGTTTTTAACTCATATGTAAGTAGTGTGAAATTAAAGGGGAATAAATGCCAAGTTTGGTAAAACCAAAAAAAAAAAAAAAGAAAGAAAAATTACTTTTATCCTTGAAAGAAAAAGGACATGACAGGGATGCACGCACATACTTTTTCTCACTCTCTCATTATATTATCTTCAGTTTTTCAATACAAGTATATGCGGAAGGTTCACAATAGATAAAATAATGCCCTCCCCCATGAGAATTAATTAAAAGAATTGGTCATCTTCATGGAATATAAGACCACCTATGTATATTCCTGTCCATTTTCCTAGCCTCCAACATATTCATTGTCTGGAAAAAAAGATGGAGAAGGCTATTGCTTTTATATTCATTTTGGGCTTCCATAAACATATTAGTTACTGTGGGATCAGAATGTTGGAGTACATACATGTTTCACCCAGTAAAAATGTGTGATATGTGGTTGACATACTAATTAAACAGCTTTTTTCTTTTGTAAAGTTTTACAACTTGGGGTTGAATCAGGATTAATTACATAGAATTAGCATGCAGTTGGATTTGCTTTTGAGTACATATGAATAAAATTGTATTTAATAGTAATTTAATTACAGAATTTTAAAAATAGGTATCAGTTCACTTTCTAAATAATTATATCAGTAATTACTAGTTTTCTTGATTTACAGATGTATATACTATGTTAACCATGTTTCTTCTATTTTTAAAATTATATTTATTGAAAATTTTCATATAATAATAAACCAAAAAAAGGAAAGACAGAAAAGAAAAAGAAAACCAAAGTTAATAAACATAGAGATGACTTCTGACCTTCTTTTCAACAGATAATTACATTCTTATTGTCCCTCCTTCCTCTTAAGTATTTTATAAGCCCCTTCACCCCTTCATTGTCCTCAACTTTCTTAGTCTTTAAATCCAAAAATCATCAATTCATTTTTTCTTCTTTCAACAAAAAGTTCATATAAGGCTTCCAGTCTTTCAAAAAAAGTTTTTGTTGTTCTCTGACCAAATAGGTCAGTTTCACCATTTCTGCAAATACTGACATTTTCACAATCCATCCCTCCACTGTGGGAATTTCATTATTCTTCCATCATTGTGCATGTAATAACCTTACTGCAGTTACCATATACAATATCAATTTATCATAAGTCCCAAAAAGTTCTTTTTTCTTAGCAATATTAATCCTTAAAATCTTTTGCATCATTATATGAATTTGTATCCAGAATTTCTTAGCTTTCTTACAAGTCCACCATGCATGATAAAATATCTCCTCATGCTTTTCACGTTTCCAGCACTGGGTTGAAACACCTTTATACATTTTTGGTAATTTCCCTGGTGTCATATACCAATGGTACATCATTTTATAGAAATTTTCTCTTAAATTATGACACACTGAATTAATACCAGTTATCCACATTCTCTTCCAAATATCCATCTCTATGAACTGTGTTTCTTTACTCTAAATTAATTTCACATGTGCCATCTCAAGGACTTGGTGTTCAGTGGTGGTGTTCTTGTATACACCTAAATTTGGATACAGTTCATAATGTCTTATAAATATTGTGTATTTTCTTAATAGTATGACACTTAAAAACAATATATCTGGCAGATTTATGGGAGACAGTTGTCTTCTAATGAGAGGTTTTTGTGTGCAGAAGAAAAAGAATAGGATTGATTACACACAGTCTAAAATTTTAAAGTGCTTCTAGATTATTTGCATGCCTAATTACTGTGCATTCAAAACTAAGTGAACTATAGCTACTTGGAACTAGAAAATGAAAGGCAATATTTTATGGGAAAAATATCATATTTGCATGTAGGCCTGTCTATATATTAGAATTAGATTTTTTTCCTTATGTTTAATAATAGTGTCTGAGAAACATATTTATGTTTCTGTATTAAATGAATGAATGTGATCCTGAAACATCAGCTTTACTTTGATGTAGCACACCACGTGACATTGAGAAAAACTTCGGAGTGCTGTGTATTTTGGTGATAAAGGACTATGTCAGAATAGCAATTAATTACCTGCCTTGCTTGATATAGAGACCAATGGTTCCATACTTTCCTTCCTACTCTTTGGGAGTATTCTGTTCAAATTTTACCCCCTACTTTCTGTTGGTGAAGAAAACTAATATAAATTTGAGTGTGCTTAGATACATATTTGATTTGTGTGACTGCAGTAGATTAAGCAATTGTGTTTGTGTTTCTGGTATTTTGCCTTAAATGTGTGGGAAAGTAGTAAAAAGATCAGCTTACTTATATATAGGAAATCTGCTAAGATAACTGAAGAACAGCTCAGTAATTATGCAATTGACTTAAGGTTTCACTTTACTACCATTGCATCTTTGGCATTACATGAATAATTTGATCTGAACTGGTGCAGAGAAGAAGCCAAAGAAACCAAGAGGGGCATTATTTCAGATATCCTTTAGAGATGTATAAAAACTTGCAGGAAAACTTAGAAGTTAGAATTTGATATAATTCCTGGCATTATTAGGTTCTAGTTCTACTTAATAACAATTGCCTTAAAATGAATTAGATAATCTGTACAGTAGTCATATAAGGCAGACTCATTTTTTTTATATGTATGTGTGTGTGTGTTTGAGAAAGTGACATACTACTACATAGGAGTCTATTAATGGGAAAAAGCTAGCTTCATGTATACTAATAATGAACTCGGTTGTTGAGTAATTTTGACTGTATAGCGAGAATGGGTTATTAAAATGTGAAGGATATATTGGCAAGTCTGGAAGATGCTGAGATTACACTAATAGAGGCCTAAGGGGGCTGTCACTTGTTCCCTCCCCCCCAAAAGAAGTCTGAGCATGTGTCTCAGCATCTTATTTTCAATTGTATTATGTCAAGATAGCAGTGGAAAGTGAGAAAATCCTTGGCTCTCAAATTATTCAGTTATCTTACTCAGTTACATTTCTAGAGAGTTTTTGTATTGAATTTTCCCAGTTTAGCCACAGAAAGTAGTTTTGGGCCATTTGATGATTGTTACGGTTTTCAGAAATGTAAAGTGCATAACGAAGCATAACAAGCAGATACATACATACATACATACATACATACATACATTTCTAATATTGTCCAGTAATTTGACCTGTTGCAATTGAGGCTAACCAATTAAATGTGATATTTCATTTTTTAGGAAGAACAAAACAGAGGCAAGCCCAATTGGGAACATCTGAATGAAGACTTGCATGTATTAATCACTGTGGAAGATGCTCAAAATAGAGCAGAAATTAAACTGAAGAGGGCTGTGGAGGAAGTAAAAAAATTACTGGTACCTGCAGTAAGTAGTATTATTGAAATATTGATGTTTGATATGTGTTCTTTAAGGGTCATACTGTCTTCCATGTGTATTAGATAGTATGCCGTTAAAGGAAATATGTCCAAGTAAAATATTTTTCCATCTAAAATATTGTTAGTATATGATGCACTGTAATGTAGAAATAAGACTAAATGTAAGATATCAATTGCTTTTTGAAAAGCAACTTTCTCCTGTTTGAAAAGAATAATATATAACTAGTGCATGCTTAGAGGACATACAAATAGATTATATAGGAGAAATAGGAATATTTCAGGTAATTTTTATTATTGTCTGGAGAATAGCATGAGGCTGTTCACTTAAGCAAAGCATCCCAGCTCTGTAATAAGCTACTTTTAAAAGTTATGAGAGTCATCGTGGAATTTTCAGAAACAGTTTATAATAAGGAGGACTCTTAAAAGAAAACAATTTGTTAGGCATGTTATGACCCTTGTACACATCTGAAGTAACTCTGGAGTCTATCTGGGTGGGAAGAAAGAGAGTGCAGTAAATTTCACTAGGTTCTACTATTGATTGTAGTCATACTTTTGAGAAGATTTGATTTCATAACTTAATGAGACAATTTTTTTCTCTTTATAATATTGCTCTGCTGAACATAGATATCTGTCAGAGAAATGTATCAAAGAAATCAGTATGTTGGCTGTAGTTTATTTACCATAGAGTATAGTTTCTTAGATCATTTAAGTTCTCTAAAGAAACCATTTTGGAGATGAGGATATTAGTGTCATATAAAAAACCTGCTGTTTGTTTAATATAGATGGAAAAGTCCCTTAAATTATTGGGGATGCATATAAAGTTGGAATATGTTTTTCATACTGAATTAACATCAGGAAGCTTTTCTAAAATTATTAAGTTGGGCTATAATAGTTCTATGTTGACTATAATAAAATGATCAGGAAGACATAAATACTCTCTTCTACCACTGATTTAAATTTTGATGAATGCTAGTAGTATGATGCAACTCTATTTAAAATCAATTCTGAGCAATTTTGCTTGATAATAGCTATACATTTCAGCCACTGAGGACAATTAAAACTGCATGTAAAGATACAATTTTAATAAAAATTGAGAGCCAGTTTGATTTAGTGGCTAAGGTATTGGACTAGAAACCAGGAGACTGAGTTCCAGTCCTTCCTTAGTCATGAAAACCAACTGGGTGACTAAGATAGTCACACTCTCTCTGTCCCTCCACCTCATAGAGTGGTTGTTGTGGAGAAAATAGGAGGAGCATTATGTATGTACACCACCTTATGTTGCCCAAAAATAAAGGCAGGATAAAAATCAAATAAAAAATAAAAGAAATCCCCATTATCAGGGAAATAAAGTATAGAATAATTTGTTCCATAATACAGAAACCTTAAAAAAAACCCTACATTTAATTAAATTTGAATTAAAATTTAAATTTGGTTCATGTAGATAATTAATTCTTCAGCAGTAAACTAATTCAGTTCCATCTCTAGTCTTAAATGGAAAATATTTGTTTTGACATTGTACACATAGTCATTTCTAATTGAACTGATCTCAGCTGTATGTATATTAAGTTTAGATTTTAATTGTACTGATGTTTTGTTCAAACCTAGACACTGTGAACAATTAGCTGTGTTAAATTTTTATTTTAATCAATATGTGTTATCAGAGTTGATTTTACTCAGTTGGTTTGGATCAGGATATAAAGATGGAGTGTGCAAAAAGAAAGTATTTTTGAGTTCTTATTGTAGATAACAAGCTATTAGATTTCCTCAGATGTCAAGATTTTTAATATAGTTCATTGTTTATTACTGATCCAATTTGAGTTTTGCACTCTGTATCCTTTTATCATTGTTAATATTTTAATATATATCCAAATTACGCTGTATGTCCATTTTGCAGTGCATTCGCTTTGCAATTTGTACTTGGAGGGAGGGAATGTTTGCATTTTTACAAGAAAACAGGGTGTTTGAGTGCCTCTGTAACTAAATGTTGGTGACTACATAGAAGATCATAAAGGAAATGACTATCGTGTTAGGAGATTAAGTGACTCATTAAGGTCTACAATTCTGAAACTGCAACCATCAGGTTAAATTTAGAAATCTATTTTTCACTCAGATTTGAGTTTATGTTGGTACTAGCAAAATTTCTTTGTAAATGTTGAAGTATAAGCTTTTTGGTTTGATTCAGGAAGTGTTATCCTAAGTTGACATAGGAGAAATTGATATCAATGTCTGTAATACATGTATTGGCTTTTTGTACAAGATATAATGTCTAGGTTAGCCCATAACACTAAGTTATAGACCACTGTTTGCCAGCCACATTGGGTAGATTCATAAATTGCACTAAGCCAGAAGGAAAGTATGGCTTAGCATGGTATTTGAACCCAAGCAATGATTACAGTAAAATGAAAAAAGTGAACGGTTGTACAGGTAATCCCCAGTTTAAGAACGGGTTCCGTTCCTGAGGTCTGTCCTTAAGTTGAATTTGTATGTAAGCTGGAACAGTATTATTGTATAATACTGGATAAGTAGTATTGTGTAATGAACTTGAACTATTGTTTATTTAACTCGAATTTTGCTACAGTAGGCTCCGTTCTTAATTATGGGTCATCTGTAACCCAGGCATTCTTAACCTGGGGACTACCTGTGTCTCATTTCAGTGCCAAGGAGCCATGTATGTAACAAATGAAACCTACAACAAAATGTTGAATGTATCCTTACATACAGCAGTAGAATTCTGTTCAGTGTTCTTGCCAGCCAACCAGCCCATTGTAAATCATATAAACAGTTAATTTCCATTCTTCATCCCTCAGTTGACTTTTACTTTCTTCTTTTTTTCAAGTAATATTGAACATTGTGTGGTTCTGGAAACTGTTAAATATATTCAGTCTGTTTAACTGCTTTGGGATGGAATGGTATCCTCCAGCTCTTTATGATTCTGCTTGCTTCATGTTTGCCTAAGTATGCTTGTTCTGCTTAGTGGTTTTGTTTTAATTCCAGACTTGATGTCACCAATCATTTGAGTTCGCAATTAGAGGGAATGATAAGTACAGTGTCTATCATAGTATCATTAAATATTGTTTGGAAACTCAAACAACTAATTTCTTATGCTGTGTTGAAATGAAAAGTAGTTTGTGCATTTTTAAGGGATTGTTCCACTTATTTTCTCCCAGGGAACTCCTGTAAAGATGTAGTAATTCTCTTCAACTCTGCTTTTTGTGTTGGATAGGGAATTCAGGAAGAACAGAAAGTTTTATTGTGATGCAAACCCCTGCTAAAGGTTTCAGTTATAGATTATGTACTTTTCCTGATACTCCACATCTGAGAATGCCTCCATAAAAAATTTAAAATAAGCAGAATTGAACAAACATCCATGTAACCTTGGGTAGCTGTACCAACCAACAATTAATTGCAATCAAAAATAATTCTGTGTAATGATCAAATTTCGAAATTTTGGAAACTACTTCTGTAAATTGTTAGTGGTTCCTTAGCATCAGTCCCTGGCATATTTTAAAGTCTAGGAGTTCATTATTTGTTGTGCAAGTTAACTTTATGGATTATGTTTCATCTCTAGTTGATCATACTTTTGGCCACCAAGAAAATTCAGACCTGACTTAATAGTAGGATTTCCCTACCTTTTTAACATAATTTCTTCCTCCTGAGTGACTTTCTCTCTGAGGGAACTCCTTAATTTTATGAGATTAATTCCGTTTATTGTGCATAAGATATTTACTCCACCTATGAAGTGGGCTTTTGGTCCTCATAGTTAAAGCTAGTTGGAGGATAATGAATACATCTTTGCACCATGGAGTATTACTGTGGATGCCTTCCCTGGACTGGATTGCTAGCACACTGTACCCGGTATCCTATATTTGAACAAAGTTGTGCAGTAGATGACTGACTTTAACGATGCTTGGATATGTTTGCATACAAAATTATAGAATAGTATATATCTACCTTGTTGCTCTGGTAGATAACCTGTAACTAGGGAAGTGCAATCTTGTTAATTCTCCTGGATCCCTCTGCAGCTTTAGATACAATCAACCCTGGCATCAGTGTAGAGTAACTCTGGTGAATGGGAGTTGGAAATATCTTTCATCAGGACTGCTCAGCCCCATTGCAGTTAAGCTATATGATGCAGCAGGATTCTGTCTTCTGTCCTTTTTAACAACTACATGAAACTGCCTGGAAAGATCATCCAAGATGGTTTTCCATCTGAAGTAGGTAAAGTGGTAGAGGGATCAGAAGGCTAAATGAGGATTAGTAAACAGAGATTGAAATTTCATAAAATGAAATGGTACAGTGAGTGGTTTCCAGATTTGGGATTGGTAGAATTGTGTGTTCTGGATGAGGCTGCACTTCAAGGAACAGGATTGTGGTTGGTTGGTACTCCTTGGTGTAGTTTTATTTCTGGAGCCCAGGTAGCCGTAGCAACTAAGATTGGCTTTCCTCACTTCTGGCCATTTGCCTGCTATGGTCTTTCTTAGATCAGGATAGCCTGGCCACAATGACCATGCCATAATGCCTCAGATTACTCTAGATTACTGTGCACACTCTACATTAAGGCAGCCTTATGTAGGAATTTTAGCATGCCTTACATGCATAGTAGGAATCATATTACATCAATTCTCAAGACTGTGCATGGGGGAATATCTCTTTATATCAGTCTACCTCAGGGTACTTATAAAATTCCAAATACTTAGGCCTAAATACTTGTTACAATACCTCTCATAGTATCTACCGACCAGCATACTGAGATTTGCAGAGTGGATCTTGCTAATGGTACTGCCAGGGGTGACAACTGTTTGGGAAGTTACTAAGGATCATGTCAGTATCAAGCTTTTTCTATAGTTTCATTAAGTATTTAACATGCACCTCTTTATTTAGTTCAGGCCTGCACAACGTATAGCCTACAGGCCACATGCGGCCTGCCGGCATTTTTAAAAAAGTCAATAAGTTCGCTGCTGCTCTGAAAGACCCGCTGCTAAGCGCCTC